TGAACAATAAATTGGGGTACGGTCCGCCTCTATCCATGCTATTTTGTAGACGGGGACCGTCCACACATAATAATACACCATATCTTACCATGAACAGAACCAAAAGTCTCACAATAAATACATACTACCAAACACCACCATAAAGTCTCACGACCTTATTATTGATTGGTCCTTAAACATTATCAGTTTTGTATAAAGTCTCACACAGCCTTTGTTTTTCTTTATTGATTGGTCCTTGAAGCATCTCTAGATTCTAGTCATATATATCCTTTTGTGTGAAGCATATCATGGGCTTTTGGTCCTACATGTCAACATGAAAGTAATTCACCACGGACCACCTGGAACCGACACATTCTACCATTGGACCATGGTGTTGTGGTCTAGAAGGAGGTGTTACGTAGCATTTGGTGGGAAGAAAACAAAAACAGAAGTGAAATACAAGATCAACAAATAAAAGGAAAACAGTATGAAAAGTCAGAGTTCCACCCACGTTTTACATTATTAGAGTGATAAGACTTCACCTTATAGCATTTCAAGTATAGAAATAAGGTTGCCACTTGCCACTGTGGAAGGATCATATACAGTTGGATCAACAAGTGATCCACTTCCATTTATATATTTAGCATATTCGACTAATTAGATTCATATTGGCTAGGATAGGATTATATGCAGATATTATAAATTGCTTCTAACAAGATTAACATTTAAAGAGCCTACAAATTTTTGTTAAGGCTCAGTTTGGAAGGAGTACAAATGTAAATATGTACAAAATAATACAAAATATAAGGTTTTGTATTCTACAAATTTGTGTTCATATTCCTTCCAAATTAAGCCTAAAATGTAAACAGGTTGTATTAGTAAATTTATTGTTAATGCTATATGTGTATGGTATTTTTTTGGCAAAATAAAAAATTAAAAGAATTTTCATTGTTAATGCCAACAGGCAATATTGTTACAGATAACTCTTTTAAGAATGACAACAGGGTGAGTTCAGGGGTGGGGATGAAATTCTCCATCTCTGACCCTGACCTCAATCCCCACTGTCTATACAAATTACCCTCCACCCCCAAACTTTGATGGAGACGGATTTTTCTTGAGAACTTGAATCTCTAAAATTTTTTAATTATAATATGTTTTAGAAAATAGATTTCCTTAAAGTAAAAAATATTTTAAAATATAAATAATATTTTAAATATATTTAATATATATAATCAGAGTCAGAACACGATAGAGATTTTATTCCTCGTCCCCATCATCAGGTCAGGGAGGCAGAATACCTGACAGGGATAGGGAAAATTGCCATCCTTAATCCCATTTGTCTCATCTTAATCTTTGTCCTGGTGAAGTTTGGGCCATTGAACAAAATTTTGGTTGGACCTTGGGTGGGCAAAACCCCGTATAATTTCAATTCTATTTTTATCTCTCTTTTGTGTCTAATGTTGTGAATGAAGCGGATTTTGGTACAATCCGACCAATAAGAATTTAATATGAACAATCTGGATTCAATCACATCTGAATCCAATGAAACGCAAAATGGATCTTGTCCAATCCAACCCGACTGAAAAAAAGAAAATCCCTTTTAACACAATTTACTCTTTGAAATTGGTCCAAAGAGATTATGCTATATTCATGGAACCCACAATCTTCTCAAAGTGGATTACATGCAGTTAGATAGATACTTTTTATAGAGTTAATCAAGTAAATTATTCAGAAGATCCAATAATCCGCTCTTGGATAAACCTAATCATATCATTTGCTTTCCATTCCGATGTCAAAACCCATTCCTCAATATCAACCGATAATTCACTTCCTGCTGGGATTTGATAAGAATCATTCCAAATGGACGACCTGCTTGGGTTTTAAATAATGGACACTGAGCATCTTTCCTTTTTCTTTTTTTTTGGTAGAACGAAGTGAGCATCTTAAGGATGGCAATTCTTCTCAGTCCATCATCTATCCAGGACACTACCTTGTATAATTAGCAGATGGATGTACATTATTGTCCCAAGTACAAAATTAGCATTTGAATTGGATTGATTTATTAACCGTTAACGCTAGTGTTTCACTCGCATCTCCATTAGGATGTGTGATTCCCTTGCTACCCATAAGGCCACAAGCCCACAACTCTGCTACGTTGCCATTGTTTTGGCTCAAGTCATCAAAGTTGACTTTGATTGTACCCTCTGAAGGGGGTTTAGGCCCATTTCGGTCCATTTTTGCTTTTATTAGAAAGTATTGGTTTTTGTCTAAATTTGAATGGGCCCGGCCTGAAGACCCAAACCCCAAGGCAGTGTAAAATGTTAATTTGGTCCAATACAAATTGAATCTGGATTGACAGTACAGGAGGCCCAAGGCTATGTTTGTTTTGTTAGAAAACAAAAGAGAAAGTTGATGGAAACAATATTCTCTTTTATTTTCTTAGTTTTAGCTTTTGGATGTGTTTTCTGACTAATTTTATTATTGGTTTGGTGGCTTAGGGTTGGGGCAACACAGTGATATTAGGTGCTGAAATGCAGGGGTTACCATTAAGCATAAGCTCTCGAGAGATTCCAAGACAGATCTATTATGGGTTCCTTGTTTGGAGGATTAACTGATATTCCACTTCTCCCCAAAATGTATCTCAACACTCATGAAAAGAAAAAAACAAAACAGAAAAAAGGTAATTACTATATAATATTTGCCTTCTTTAGAGATGGGATTTCCTAAAAGCAAAGAATGTACTAACAGTCTAACACTCTGAGAGCACGGCATTCAATCACACATGGGATTGCTAACTCAAGCGAAGAGCCTTCGTTGCAAAATTTGGATGGACGCCTAGATGATTTACCCTGCTCAATATTCTAATTTGTGCTCCATTTTAATACTGAACACCTACTTATGGATATTTCTAAGTTCATTATAATTAGAGTGTCTAACAATTTGTTCTTGGGGTTTAATCCATCTTATGTCCTGTTCTATTTTACTTATGAATGTTCACCCTCAATTTTTTCGAATGAATTCGGTCTAATGTGTTATTTTTCCCATTGTGCTTCCAAATGGGCTATGGGAAGTGTTTTCCGCCATACCTATAAACATAAAAATAAAACCTTATTTAAATGCTTTTGGCAAGCTGCTGTCTATAGCAAATATTGTTTTCTTTCCTTGATTTTAACGTAGAAAGGTTAGATCAGATGGAGCTTAAATGAGAAAAAAAAATGAGTAAATTAAAGGTTAGATCGATAAAGACCCCCCTAAATTATCACTTTGCAACAAATGCCCCTCCTTCATTTGAGTATGTCAGTTAAATTTAAAAARGATTCTCATTCAGCTGTTAAAGTTTTCTAAATCCCTAAACTACCATTTTCTTATTTATTTGATTGATTTATGATTTGATTAAAATTATAAATGTAACATTAAAGCTTTCTCAATTGCTCTACCAGATCCTTGCCGATTTCTGGCTAGATTTAATATTCGAATGAAATGGTAGAGATTTCTTTCTGGGTAGATAGAAATTTAAAGTTTTGGTTGATTTTCATCATTTATTAGAGAAATGAGTGGATAATTTCATTATTTTAAGATGAAGAGAGATATTCGTTTGAGGTTTGAGATAATTGTTTTCGCTGGATTTTTTAATTATGATGAACTTCAGACCGGAATTCCTATTGCAATTTCATGAAATGAACTTGAAGTTCTAAGGGTTTTAGTGGATTACATATTTAAAGTGCATTGTTCTCCCTATAATGTGAGATTCTTCTAATAATTTTCTCCATAGATCTAAAAAAAGAAATTTTCTTTTTGAAAAATAAATATTCCATCTCGAGGAAATAGTATTACAGTTTTACATGTCCCATCCCTTCTCACAAAACTCAAATAATAGCAATCAAAATTCTAAAGAAACTTGTGTTTCTATATTAGTGAAATGATTCTTGTTACTTAATGGTTTCATGGAGATATTTTTGAGTATTTTGATAATTTAATGCATTCTGCCATCTAAGGTGGTATCTATCGAAAAAGTGAAAGTTAAGAGAGGTATTTGCCGCAAATAAAAGTTTAGGGGAGTAATTGTCACCGACCCCATATTACGGGGTCTCTTTGTAATTTATCCTAAACAAAATCAGAACCATGCAAGTATGAAAAGAAAGGAGGGCAATGTTGTCAATATTTAAAAGAAGGAGGCATTGTTTGGCCAACTTACTGGTTTGGTTTCATTCGCGTGAAATGGCTACGACCCGAAGTCCAAAATCACCACTGCCGTCCAATACCCTTCTCTTTCCTCTTTCACCTGTGGTATCCATGCCACCAACCCGAGTCGCGAGGTTTAAACCGAGGGAGACCCGCGTTTATCGGACTGTCATCTATGACGGGTAGGGCTCTAACGAACCCCGTCTCCCACTAAATTTCTGGGTTTGTCTTCCTTTTACGGTTAACTCAATATAGAAGACAAAGGAGGAGGATTCTTTTTTACATGATTCATTCCAAACCTCCAATTAAACCCAGGTTTCAGATTTTTTTTTTTCTGTTTCTCTTCTGTGTTCGATGGGAATCGAAATATATGTTAACTGAATTATATTCTTTTCTCTTCAGATTGTTGGTTGTTGAGTTGGATGTTGTAGCTTTGACGGGTTCTGGTCGAGTGGTTTCCATGCATTGCCTGTATGTCTCTGGTTGCGGTTGTTTGGAATTAAATCCCTTAAGATTTTCTGGGTTCTAGACCTGGCACTTCTGAAGTTGCACGGAAGAAATTCTCCTCCGTTAAATCTAGGATTGCACCAACTTGGAAACAAAGAGAAGGGATTCCTGCTTCATCCGAAATTGCTTCCGAGTCTCATAAATTTCTTGAAGCGAAACACACCAAGTTCCTTGATTCACCTCAGGTATACCACGTTTCCTACCTCTGCTTTAATTTGCTATTAGAACCCAGTTTCTTCTCTTTGTGGATTGCGGTTCCTTCTACTTTATATACGTATTTATTTATGGTGGACTGGTGTAATTTCAGGTAGAAACACATTGGAGGAACATAAATGCAACAGAAAATGAGACCATCCCTGGAGGAAGAACTGAAGAAGACAAGGGAAAGATTAGATGACGTAGAGGAGGAAAGAGAYCGACTTCTCGATGAGCTCGCAGAAATGAAGAAAGTCGCCGAGGATGCCAATTTGAGGCTCTGTGAGGCTTTGTCGGCTCAAAATTGGGCAAACAAATTGTCAGAGATGGATAAAACTGCGTTTGACGAATTGGAGCAGGCAAGCATTGTGTCTGCCAAGAAGAGAGACCAAGCGTGGCAGCTCGAGCTTGAGGCAGTTCAGAAACAACACGCCAAGGATGTGGAGTCTCTCTTATCTGTTCGAGCAGAGCTCAGTGACGTTCAGAAAAGCCTTGTCTTGGCCTTGGAATCAAAGAATGCAGCTTGCAAAGAAGCCGAGGTTGCCAAGAACGTCGCTGAGTCTAATGCGAAGAAGGTCGCCAGCCTCACTGCAGAGCTTAATGCTTTGAAGGACGTAGTTGCTAAGTCGAGTGGTTTGGGCAAAGGAAAAAATGTCGAAGATCTACTTCTCCAACTTAACAAGGCAAAACTAGTGGAGGAAGAATTGTCTAATGCAAAAGAATCGGAAGCCAAAATGCTGGAGTCACTCATCACTCAAACAAAGCAGTTTGAAGAAACTAAGATTTTGCTTGAAGAAGCCAAGCTTGAGGTCACTTCTCTTCGTGAGAAGATTGAGAGCTTGGAAAATTCAACAGTACAAAGTGGTAGAGATATTGATTTATCCCAAGTATGCCTGGAGAGGGCAAAGGATGATACGCATTCCATAAAAGAGAAAATGGATAATCTCAAGTCCGAGGTTCAAGTTGCAAAAGATTGCGCGGCCCGTGCCCAAGAAAAGGAAGAACTTTCTTCATCAAAGGCCCGAGGTTTAGCCGAGGAAATGAACCGGCTTAGAACTGAACTGAAATTAGCTACAGATGCAGAAGAGAAGAACAAGGAAGCCATGGATGACCTAGCATTAGCCCTTAAAGAAGTCTCGACGGAGGCCAACGTGGTTAAGGGGAATCTCAGCGCAACGCAAGCAGAACTGGATGCTGTAAAAGAGGAGTCTGAAAAATTAAAAGAGGAGTCTGAAAAATTGAAGCTGATAATGAAGAGTGCCAAGGAGAAATATGAAAGGCTCCTGGATGAAAAGAATAAGGAAATTGTTCGGCTTAAAGAAACATCCGAGAGACTGAAAATTGAAGCTGAGGAAGCAACCTTGGCTTGGACTGGAAAGGAAATTGAGTTTGTTAATTGTATAAAAAGGGCTGATGAAGAGTCTAATGCGATAAAAGAAGAGAACAGTAGATTGGCTGAATCACTCCAAATGGCTGAGAACATGACGAAAACGTCGAAGGAAGAAAATAGCAAGTTAAGGGATATACTGAAGCAAGCTCTGAATGAGTCTAACGTTGCAAAGGAAGCCGCAGAGATTGCTAGGGCTGAGAATTCCCAGCTCAAGGACAGCATAGATGAGAAGGAAAAAGCTTTGCAAAGTCTTATGCAAGAAAATGAACACCTTAGGAACAGCGAAGCCGAAGCTCTCAAGACTATCCATGATTTGAAGGAGCAGTTGCTATCAACAAAACCCACAGAATCGAAAGCAGATGATAAGGAAACGGGGTTACCAATTACGAAACAGAACTCAATCGTTAAGGAGAACAGAGATGGAAAGGAGAATAAAGATGGTAAGAAACTAGCCAAGGTTCTCCATCTCGATCTTGAGGATTTGAGATTGCCAACCCCATGCAAGAATATTGAGGAGGATCCCGAAATGGCTGAAACACTCAAGGGTTCAATATTTGATACGTTGGACTCCCCGGAGCCGGTCAATAACAATCATCATCATCATCATCACCGGAGAGCAACCTTTTCGGTATTTGCAGATATTGGGGAAGCTATCAACTCAGATGATTTCGATCATCTAGAATGTGCTCACGCCGATGATGATAATGATAGATCGCACCGAAAGAAGAAAGCATTGCTGCGAAGAGTTGGAGATATTCTGAGAAAAACAAGCTTCCACAGAAGGGATACATCAATTAGCTAAGCATGATTTATTAATTGGTTAAGACATATATCGACTCACAAACTATGTTGATGATATAGTTTTGTTCGTTTTACTTCTGTTCTTTACAATGAAGCTTGTAGATTGCAAATTTCTATTCTTGAGCACATACTAGGGGCCATTCCTTAATTAAAGTAAAATATTCTTGGGCTGATAGGCAGGAGGTAACCACTATGTGTAAAAAATGCCAAGGATAGATTGGTATATATAACTTTTTTTTGAATTATTTTTTAGCAGATGCTGAAGTCTAGCCTCATGTACATTATCTTTTGACGCCATAAACCATGTTTTCTTGCTTATGGTGTTTCTAATTATATCTTTCAACTAGAAAATGATTCTTTTACCAAAGACACTATAAAATGACTCTGCATTAATTAGGGGAAGGTCTTCTGGCTGAGTAATTGCTAAGTTTCTTCGGTTTAGGCGTTAACTAATGATTTTACAAATTTGAGTTTCTGGTGGCAAAAAGATTTTATATATATATATATATATAGCGGGGGCCGGCCCTAGTGGTGGGGCGGGTTCAGGGCCAAATTTTCCTTACCTTGAAACAATCACTTGAAAAATCCTAATTTATAAATATTTTACAAATAGGATTATGGGAATTTGGGGGTATTTTAGGAATTGAATTCTGACAATTTGGATCTATTTTATAAATGAAATTATGGGATCTTAGGATTATAAAAATTTGAGGAAAACATAGAGATATTTTAAAAATCAATATTAAATCTATGAATATTTTACTAATTTACCATCAATTTAGGGAATTATATGCAAACCCCATCCCTAATTTCGGGCAAAAAATATTTTCCTTGTCCCCACCTCATCTCTACCCTGTCCCCCATTTAAGAATTAAGATATGAAAAAAATTTCCCCATTCGGGATGGGGAAGGGTAGCGCCACAGTTTTATAGAAAAAATTGTTATCCCTACAATTCTAATAATTTTCTATAACTAATTAACTAATAGTAAATTAAATAACAATAAATTACAATATTTTATGATAATTTCCAAAAAATTATTGAAATTGCTATTGATTAGTAGTAATGTATAGTAAATACATTCGAACATACATACATACATACATACATACATAATTCAYATTTCTTTTTTAAGAAACTGAAGGTGCTATACAAGCCGAGGATAGCACGTCTCCAGGAATCACAAAAACAAATAAAATTAAGAAACCAAGGGATACTCACTAAAATGAATGAACCTCCAGCTAAAGCATTATGAACTAACCAGTTTATTGCTTGATTTGCTTTTTGATACACATGTTGAAATCTAATACTGGAATTAAGCAGGGAGCAAGCACTAAGATACTCTAAAATGATATTCTCCAATCTCTACGTTGGCTTCACAGCGAGTTTTGAATCACCTTCAATAATTATCAGGGGGTCCTTAAAATTGACAACAATGTTGGTTGCTTCCCAAACAGCCTAAGCTTTAGCTAAGTTGATAGACATGAAACCAACACAATAGGCTGTGAGATCAAGAATTGAGCCAAAATGGTTGATGGCGATACATGTTATAGAACACCATCCATTTGCATTAAAAGAGGCATCAAAATTTATCTTTATTGACCCGGATTTGAGATTTATCCACTAAATAGACTTTCAAATTTTCATATTATCATTTTACTCATTCTCTAAAAAAGTCTTAATATCCCTCAAATAGTTAAAAGCTCTTTCAATAATAATCCAAGAAGGGAAAGATTTATTGTTGAAAGTTTGAAACAATTGCAAATAAATTATATTTGTTGATAAGGCTCAATTTGGAAAGAGTACAAATACAAATATGTAGAGTGCAGAACTTTGTATTTTTTATTATTTTGTATGTATTTATACTGTATATATTTATATTTATACTTCTTCTAAATTGAGCTTTAATGCTCTATTTGAAAAGAATATAAATACAAACATGTGCATTATAAATACATACAAAATAATATAAAATACAAGGTTTTACACTCTACATGTACTCCTTCCGGATGTTCCACTCTTAGTCGARGATTTCCTTGCCATTGAAATTTGAAAAGAAAACCTCTTCTTTTTGAGAATCCCTTTGTTTTCTCATTAGAATTCTGAAACTTCAACGATGGGCTTGATTGCTTGCATTATCAGCGACCGTTAGTACCCTCCACCTCCGGCGAGCTTGGGAGCTGTGTGTAGATAGCATCCATCGGTGTCATTTTTATTTTAAAGGGTAAATTTATTAGATTACCCTTGTTATTTAGTTAATTAACAAAGTGTACCTGTTCCAAAATTGATTGACATCATCAGCGAGCGTTAGTACCCTCCACCTCCACCTCCGGCTCCTCTCTCTCCTTCTTCCCCTTCATTCTCTCTCCTCTCTCCCCTGTAACACCGGTGAGAGGAAGGGGAAGGAGCCTGCAAATCTTTTTAACAGTTTTCCACGACCAAGCTTGGGTTCTCAAACATTCGCCATGACCAAATCCTCGATTACAGTTTGCCATGACCAAGCTTGGGTTCCCGAACGTTCGGCTGGTAATGCCAAAACAGGTGGCCCAATGTCGGAGACATCGACCAGATCGGAGCGAACATCTTCAACGCAGCTACTTATAATCGGCGTTGTACAACGAGAACCAGAAGGGTGTTCGGCTGGCAATCGCCAAAACAAGGTGGTCCAATGCTGGAGACGTCGACCAGATCAGAGTGAGCATCTTCAACGCAGCTACATATAACTGGCATTGTACAACGAGAATCATAAGGTTGTTCGGCTGGTAATTGTCAAAACAGGGTGGTCCAATGTCGGAGACATCGACCATATCGGAGCAAGCGTCTTCAACGCAGCTACATATAACCAGCATTGTACAACGAGAACCAAAAGGGTGAATTGGGAGGTAAGAGATCGAAGAGATCGGAGGGAGAGAAGCATAGAAGGGTTGCGGCGGCGTTCGACGACGTAGCTCGGGCTCATCCTTGCGACAGCAGCGGTAGTGAGAACTCGGCGAAGAGGAGATTGAAATGTTATTGAATGAGATCCCTCTTGCCACATCTCTCAATCTTAAGTCTGGCGCCTATCTAGCGTACCCACTCGGTGCCAGGCTGTAACTCTTCCCAGCAGAAAAGGGGGAAATATCATGTCATCTTCAAGCTCGCCGATCACAGCCAACGGCGAGCTTGCTCTGATCTCCTCTCTCTCTCTCTCTCTCTCTCTCTCTCTCTCTCCTTCCTCCTCTTTCTCTCTTCTTCTTCTCCTTCCCCTCTCTTTCAATCCGGTCCTCTTTTTCTTGTATTGAAGCAAGGATAGTCACCGGCGCGAACGCCCAAAAGAGCTGGAATTGGTAATCTCTTTTGGGTATCTGCTGTTCAGTTCACCATGACCAAGAGGATTTGGTCCGGTTCAAGAACTGCAACAAAGGCTTCACCCATTTTGGATCGGACGTTCCGTTCGAAGGTGGGAAGGATGATTGAAGGACATCCATGGCAGCTGTAGTCCCTAACGTTTTTGATGTTGTGGATTTACGTTGGTCGATTTACAAGGTTAACCCTTCTGGTATTGACGATTGTCTAACCACCTAATCTTACGGAAAGGAAAGGGTTATACCTTTTTGGTCTTGACCCAAACGGTTTTATCTTTCAGGCCCCGTTCATTTGTAACAATACAGCTTCCGGAATAAGTTTATATATCCCAGTAAATGTTACCTAGAAACATTTACAAATAATAAAATGATATTTTTATCTACCCAAAAAAGTAAAGATAACTTTAGGAATCCATTACTTAATACAAAATGAATACAGGAGAGTTAGTCAATAAAAAAAATATATCCATTGACATTTACCTTTAAATGAATGAGATTTAAGGGTAAGATGGATATTTCAGTCCTTCTCGTCGATGTTTAAGGACAACGATATTTTTCTGAAACAGTAGTCAATTTTCTAACAGTAGAATAATTTAAGATATATTATTATTGGTAATAAATTATTTAATTAACTTTATAAGATATATTATTTTTGCTGATATTTTTATGCCGTGCCCCATTACTTCCCAAAACAAGTTATCAAACGGTTATCTCTTATCTGATGTCAGCCAGGACGCATTATTTGCATCGCCTACGCCCTATTTTCACTAAGTTCCTGTTTTTCTCTTTTGTCTCTTTTGGGCGCGTCGTACAATTTTTCATTTGGTAAGATGCAAATCATAATTATAAATAAACAGATGCAAATTTTTTATCTGATTGCAAACTTTCAAATTTGAGTGGAAATTTTATAAAAGTGACACTTTTGTTATAAGAGCAATTTGGATAAGTACAAGTGAGGGGTATTGACCAACCACATCGGAGTCCGGTTTTGAAAAGCATGGAAAAAAGAATTCTGATAACTAGCATTACAGTTATCAGGATAACACAAATTCAACTTGGATTGATTTTGAACCGATTATTTATTCTATTTAAGGCAATATTCTACTCTAAAACTAATTAAGCATTACAGTTTTTCATATCACGATTGTCTACCTTCCCTTCTTCCTCATCTTTGTTTTCAGTATCACCGAATTCAAAACTGACGTCGAGAAAGTAAAGCATGAAAACCAGGATAACGCAACACAGAAACGTGGGTATAGGCCCAAAGATCCATAAAAACAGAGGGATGGAGACATAGAAGGCCCTCAGGCCAAGAGACCAGAAATAGCTGCCCCTGTGTCACGGTCTGACACCCCGTGACACCTGTTCACAGCCCTCGCGATGTATTCCGGTGTTAGATGGGAGGGACGGTGACGAGATTTTCTTCTTGAGGGGCACGTTGATTAGGATGCTTGCATGGCTGTAGTACCGAATTGACTGAACGTTCAAGAGGAAAGCCAGCAAGAAGCAGACCAAGATGAAGAAAATCTTGATCGAAAACCCAAGCTCACTTTTGTCACCGTATACAAACGCCGATGGTCGAGCATAGTTTTTGCTCATTAACACAGCGATGAGAGAACTCAGCATGATCGCCGTCGATGCCAACAACGTAGACGCCA